TTTTACTTCCAAATTAAGGCAAAATACGCATGCTTTGTTTAATCAATCCTATTTAAAGCTATTTGTTCTCAAGCTGTCACTTAGACAATTATTTAGCTGGCCCAAGAATGTGAATTTATGACTTTGGTCATGAAGCTTAAGAAGTAACAGCAGTGGGGAGGCAAGTTCTCATCTCTCTTTTCCTGGCCATGCTCAACCAACTGGAGACAAGAGCATTCCTGATATTAACCACTCTGGTTTTGATAAGCACTTAACGCATTTTTGTCTTAAATGAATTTTTAAATATGACTACACGCAGTCTCTATGCTTATGAAAAAGGTCTTTGGGTGTATTATATAAACTAACAGAAACATATGACAATATTTTAGTAAATAAAATAGAAAACATTAGTAAACCCTATAACATAATGTTAGTATTTTTAAACTTCATAAGAAGGAAATCACATCCAGAATCATTCTTTTAAATTTGATGTGGCTCAGTATTTGGCATCTCACCGGTGGTTTCTAAGCCTGCATTTACAAGACAGCAACCTGAATTATAAAATAACTTCTTCTAAAAAAAACCTGGAAATTATTAGTTGACCTCCAGGATGGACATGAAATCTTCACATAGTCCTGAATAAATATCTCTGTCGCAACAGACACCACAACTTCATACTCTGTTTTGACAGCATTACAACAGCATATGACTGAAAAAAACCACAGAATAAATGGTGATTTCATCCACTGTGTCTCCAGGCTGGAATTCGCTAGAACCAAACAAAAAGCTTTCTATTGCCTTTATACCTTCCATTATCTATCTTGAGAACTAACCTCAGTATTCAGCATCCCAAACTTTTTTCAGTAAAACACTGCTTGAATCTTCTGAACAAACGTTATCATCTGCCTTATTTTTACAGCCTTTTCACACTTTCCTGTTATGTTCATCCAGACAATTTCATTCTTAGCTCCCACCAGAGATAACTGGACCCTAACAGGAAATAATCAAAACTGTAGCTTCTTTCTATACCATTACTAAGCTGAGTTGCACAATATAAAGAGATATTTTCAATTGTCCTGGTAATAGTACATTCTGAAAGAATGTGGACTAGGGCATGGTACATCTTCACAGTAATCTAAATTACACACATTATTTTATGGACTAAATTTTGGGGAGAAAAGCAGTAATTTTCTTAATTTTTCATGAATCAGGAAGGGATTATTGGTATACCAAAGCAGTAACTTAGAGAACAGGCAGTTCAACTTGGTCAGCAAATAAGGCAGGACTTCCTTTTCAAGTAATTCAAGCAGGCCTATGCTAGATTTGAAAGTGGTACATATTCCTACTTTTTCAGGATCAAATTCAAGGTTTTTAAACATAGCATTTAACATTCATGAAATTGGATGAAAACTTCATTTCTGGTAGGAAGGCAACCTGTCTTAAAAAAAAAAAAAAAACAATTTAAAAAATCAGAAATTGGATACGGTTTTCTACATTCTAGTATCATGTGATTCGAACAAAAACTTCTGCAAAGAGAGCACAACAAACTTTTTTACATGTTCCTAAATCTTAAAGGATGATGAAGAGTTAATCAGTCCAGGAAGAGGCAAAAGGAGACTGTTTTCTATATATTTTGTCTGAAAATTTACAGTCCCTACAGAAATGAAGAAATAGAAGCTGGCTTCATTAGCAGCTCCAGAGGCACACAGCATAGCAAAAACTAGCACCATCTTCACCCTCAAGGAAGTATACTACTTCTGCCAAACAGAAAGGATACTACACAGTCAGCATCTGTTTCACATAACTGCTTGGCTGTTGAATATAAGAACCATAAGCAGTATGACTTATGCTGTGTTTTAAATATTGGCTGTTAATATGTTACTGTATTATGACATATGAAGCTTTCTGTTACCTAAAAAGACAAAGTGTGAAAAACTAGAACTATATAGAACTTCACTCTCTAAACAACATGTAACAGCAGACAGTGGTTGGTAAAAATACACACCTTTCTACCTTCCTCCAAGTTTCCAAGATCAAATATCTAGACAAGACCTCCACATTACAGTAAAGAGAAATGATATAACAATACCATAACAAATGAAGACAAAAATCAAGAATAAGACAAAAACATAGACTTCTCTTCAACACCAGAAGTAGAAATTCCAAAATAAAATTTAACAGTGATTAAACACGTAAAATGTTTTCCTTTATTTTCATAGAGCAGCAAGAGAGAAACCATGCGTACTCCAGAAAGCTCAGGCTTTACAATCATCAAGCAGGAACACATTTCTCAGCTAAAAGGTTGAATGCTGACCATAGAATCACAGAATGATTTAGCTTAGAAAAGATCTGTTAGATCATCAAGTCTGATCTTTGACTGATCACCATCTTGTCAACTAGACCATGGCACTAAGTGTCACATCGAGTCACTTCTTGAACACTTCCTGGATGCTGGCTCCACAACCTCCCTGGGCAGTCCATTCCAATGTTTAAGTAGCGTTTCCATGAAGAAATTCTTCCCAGTGTCCAGATTGAGCTTCCCCTGGTGCAGCTTGAGCCTATGTCCTCTTGTCCTGTCACTACTTGCCTGGAAGAAGAGACCAACCCCCACCCTGGCTACAACCTCCTTTCAGGGAGTTGTAGAAAGTGACGAGGTCTCCCGTGAGCCTCCTCTTCTCCAGGCTAAACAACCCCAGCTCCATCAGCCTCTCCTCATAGGACTTGTGCTTCAGATCCTTCACCAGTTCTGTTGTCCTTCTCTGAACTCACTCCAGCACCTTCTTGACATGAGGGACACTAAACTGAACACCCAACTCAAGGTGCATCCTCACCAGTACAGGGGGAGAGTCACTGCCCTGGTCCTGCTGGCCACACTATGGGTGATACAGGCCAGGATGTCATTGGCCTTCTTGGCCACCTGTGCATGCTGCTGCCTCATGTTCAGCCACTGTCAACCAGCACCACCAGGTACTTTTCTGCTGGGCAGCTCTCCAGCCACTCTGCCCTCAGCCTATAGCATTGTCTGGGGTTGTTGTGACCAAAGTGAAGGACCCAGCATTTGGCCTTGGTGAACTTCATACCACTGGCCTCAGCCCATAAATCCAGCCTGTCCTGATCCCTCTGGATCCTTTCTATGGTCCAGCAGAACAATGCTCCCACCCAACTTTGTGTCGTCTGAGAACACAGAGGGTGCACTCAATCCCCTTGTCCGTATCACCAGTAAAGATGCTAAACAGGACTGGGACCCATAACGAGCCCTAAGGAATGACACTAATGACCACCAACTTTTGGAAGAAAAACAAACTTTTGGAAGCTTGCCTTTGCTCCCTTACACCTAGACAATGAAAATCTATTGGAATTAGCATTTTTCTGCAATATCTCATAGGTAAAACAGATTATATAATTTTTAAATATGGACATATAAACACTCATATTTAAAGGAAAAAGAAATAAATAGATGTAGTAAAAAATTCTAACAATCCTTGTTAAAAAAATCCAGATTAAATATTCTGGATTACTTCAGGACATCTTGCCATGAGTCAAAGCCCTCTACTAAGATTTCTCAAAACACACATACCTGCATAAAAGAAAAGGTTAAGAAAGAGCCTTTAATGAGAATCTGCTATAGAATACATAGATTCAATTCTTGATCAAAACCTGCATTTACCTATATGAATTACATATTTCATACAGCTTGGGCAGCAGAATGTATAAACTAGACTGCAAATGATTCACCATATTTTAAAAAAAAATCCAAAAAGTGACATTATGACTAAGTGACATCATGCAGATAACACACACAAGCAGAATCAACGCTACTCCTGATAAGTGGTCCCTTTATCAAAGAAAACTACTGGGTTATTTTTTACAAGATACATGCTCAAACAGAAATATGTATGTTTCAATCCATGGACCAATGGTAGTAAAGGGGAAATGCTATCCTTTCCATATGTGCTTATCTTAAAGCCTTCTTGAAACAGTTTCAGATAAGACAACTGTCATGCAATTTGATCTCATGAAACTTCCTTCAAGAACCAAATTAATTTCTACTTAAGAGAGGTTCCAAGCTTGCTGAAAATCTAATAAAAATCCTCAAGATTCATTCTACTCTATTTATATAAATAAAAAAGATATAAAAAAGAAGAAATTCTAGAATATAAGTATCTAAGAGGTTTTTTTAATTAGAAGAACATTAGACTTCACAAGAACTCTCATTAGGAGGTGTTTTCTTCTTTTTAACAGTTACCTCTTGATCACTTGAGACTCAGAGTCAGAATTGGGCAGCTAAACAGGTTACATATCATAGTATCATAGTATCATAGTATAGATTGGGTTGGAAAAGACCTCCAAGATCATCAAGTCCAACCCCTGATCCAACTCCAATTACTATATCATGGCACTAAGGGCCACGTCCAATCTGTTTTTAAAAACCTCCAGGGATGGTGAATCCACCACCTCTCTGGGTAGAAAATTAAAAAACTTCACAACCATAAAACAACTATGGCTCCAAAATCCAACAAATCAACAAAAGAACAGTTTCCAAAGAATATAAATCATTAGAAGTTGGCTACCTTTGCAACACATTCAGTGGTGCAGTAAATATATTGGTTTTGCCAAATCTTCATATAGTTACCTGGGCCCGTGCTCATAAGTAAAAGCTTATACGTACCATAAACACAGAGAACACACTTCCCTGAGCTGCTACTTCAGCCATACTACAGTTTCAGTCCAGTTTGTATTTCTGTATAACCTAACCACTGCAAACCAAGAGACTACAAGTAGGAGATACACCACATTTGGCTGCCTTCTGCTCCTCCTGCTTTTTACCCTTTGTTCTTTGAGGTCAGGATTTGTACAACTTTTCTCAACTTTATCTTCTGTGATGAAACACAGATTTTTGATTCCAGCTGCACTGATGAATCATTTTTAAATTTAAAACAACTAACAATTTTAAACAACTATCTGTTATTATGGGATCTAGACGCTAAATGTTTTTATAACCAAATGAATAAGTGCCATACCTCCAAGTTCTTTTACATTCAAGATGGCATTCTGGAACGGCACCGCTTTTATACTAAAACCTAAGAACAGAAATAAAGAGGAATATAAGTTATTTGTTAAAGAGGCCATTTGAAATCTATTGCATACATTCAGAAAAGAAGACTTTTCCCATCAATAACCAGGATTTTGCTTGTGAAATTCTATTTCAATGTGTTATTAAAAAGTCAGTTATAAGGCATGGTGGGAGGGGTGGGAGTAAGAGAATAGATCAGTATAAGCGATGAAATTTTCAATTATAGTATTAAGTAGCTGGCACACATAAAATTAAGCACAAAACTTACACTCAGGCCATCTATCATTTGGTAAGGAGTTAGTGCTATAAAATCATCTCTTACTACATCTAGAACTAATGTAGAGATTTCAGACTACCAATAATACGAAGTGATTGTTCTACAATTTTTAGGAGATGCTGAAGACAACATGCAATTCAAATCACTGTTTTCTTCCATTTAATCTTCACAGGTTTTGGTTACACTCAGAGTATAAATTTTATATATAATTACCCCCTGTCTATAAATGTTATTAACTGAAAGATCCTTTTACAGACCTTAGTTGGATGTATTAAAATGGTTACAAGCACACCAAAGACATCTCTGAATCCTATATTAGTTCATTTCATGCTTAAAACCTAATTAAAAAACAAACAAACAAAACCAAACCACCAAAACGTGTGATCTTTACCCTTATCTGAAAATTCAGACAGCCAAGAGAAAGGGAATGTGAAAGGCTCCCAGCAATTTATCTAGGTATTATATACTAAATTCTGTATGTTTAGTAGATACGTATATATAAGTGTATATAATATTTTACATAGGAAAAATTATGTCTGCTCTTTCAGCATAAAATATCCAGACATTTAATTTATTTCCATTTAGCACACACTGTTTCAACATGATTACATACCTGTGAACTGAGTAAAGAATTTTTGAATCAACGTGTTATAGTTCAAGTTTATTAGCTATCATTTAACAGAAACAAGATGTTTTTTCACCCAGATCAGACCAATAAGGTATTCCAGTACTCCAGCTATGGTCAGTGCTAGATGCAGAAGAGGAAAGTACAAGAAAATCTGAAGGGAATAATTATGAAATATTTTTGGGTTTGTTGTCTTAAATCTTAAACTCTTCCTTGAAAGAAAGAAAAACTGGAATGGACCTGAGTGGCATTGATGAGAAAACCAAAAATACAGATTATAGCTTGAAATATGAGTGGAGAAGTTGTCACACTGTATTCTTGTAATCTCCACAATATTCTCTGATGTAGCACAGATATGGTATACACGAGCAGATTTATTATAAGCTGAATATCCCATATGGCATCATTTTGCTTTAGATGCTGCTTAGTATTCCCCAGAACAATTTTTCATTCCTCAAGTTGCCTGATTAAATAATAGTATTTTATTGCATCTATCTGGAAAAAAATAATTTTTAAATTAATTGTATTTTCACTATTTCCTTTGATAGCTCTATCCTTCTATTTAAATTGCTTTTACTATTTCTTTCTGAGTCTCAAGTTTTAAAGTATAATTTGCTCTAATTCCAGGCAAATTCTAAAGATAAAGCTCAGGAGACAGTGGCAGGGGCCAGGGGAGGGGGGGACAAGACTGAATTACTCTACAATTTCCCTCTAACTTTTTGAGTTAGTCATTGACACCTTCTCCACACAATGAAGTGTCAGATCTCTAACATTCCCAATACCACTACGTAGGCAATAGGTTAATTATTCATCATAAGAAAAACCCAGTATTCTCTTGTATCTGTTTTACATTTTACTTACAGTTGTATTAAATAACCTTATGTTCTTGTAAATTTAACAAAACAGTTAGGATTACTAAGGCACATTCATAAAATTCAAGCCCATGGACCACAGTTACAATACAAAGCCATGCAAGTGTAAACACAAGTTACTTGCACAACACCTGGTATCTGTTCCATCAGCAAATCAACCTTAATAATTGCTGCAGCCACTGAACCAGATTTCTTTGATCTCTATGACCTAATCTTTCGTCTTTCAGAACTTTGCAGCCAGGTATTCCCGTTTCTGATTCTTCTGGTGCTGTTTTGTTCTTGGATTGTTTTTCAATCAAAACACCCTTTTCAGTGTTAGGTATTCAAGTTCACCTATATCAAGATGCCTATTAAATTTTTTGGACTTAAGATACCTTTTATCTGTGGTTGTGCTGTCTGTTTTTATGCACCTTCTCAATACAACTGAAACTTCCTGTAAACTGATTCTCTGATCTCAATCTGTCCTTACTACAAAACAAACCTGTTGCTGCTCTAAAAAGTAGGGATTATCACTAGAAAAAAATTCTCTCTATCACATTTATTCTTTTGGTTGCTAGCATACACCATAAGGTAGTACAGACCAAGTATGTGCAGAAATAAATCTCAGTTTAAGTTTCAGAGCATCACTGTCCTATTCTATTTTACAGCACATTCTCCTCTTTTCTCTCCATATAACAAGACTGCTTAAAAGCCTGAAGTAAAACGAGAAGAAAGAAATGCTGTAATGTGTCTACAGGACAGTGCTACTGTATATTATGGTTCTGCTTCATTACACCACACTGTTTGGATCTTTAACAAATTCCAAGTTGTGTGTTTTCATGGATATTCCCCAGTGTATGAACAAACACTGAAAGAGTAAGTAGTGGTAGCTTCAAAGCAATTCATTAGGTACTTTCAAGAGTAAAATAAGTAGGCTGAAGCTCTCTGCAACCTTTGCTATATGTTACAAAAGTTACCTTTGGGAAATGTTACAGTACACCATGGAATAAAGACAGCATCCTACCTGTGGTAGACACGATATTCTCCAGGCTCTCACTGCAAAGCTGAGACAGAAGACTTGTCTTGCCAGAACCAGAGAGGCCTATGCAAACTAAGTCATATTCAGGTCGTGGTGGTGGCGGTCCCTTGCAGCAAAGTGCTCTAAAACACTGCCAAGGTAGGGTAAAACGAACAAAACAAAAACAAAAGGATGAGGTTACCTTTTTAGGTTTTTTCAAATGCTTATTCAACAATGTTCTAAATTCCAGTTTATAAACATAAAGGCATTGGAGAGAAGCAAATTATTATTCTAACTTGCTATTTTTACGAAGTCAACAATTAATAGACCCAAGACGACCTGAACCAAAATCTAGAATAACATAAATATATGTGTGAGATTTTCACGTAAACCTCAAAGTGCTGCTTTGAGGAATATTTCCCAAATAGCACAAAGTGTGCACATACAGCAAAATAGGCACATGCCCCCGTCAGCTCTGCAGTTGGTTATGCATGAGTTTGCTTCCTGTGTTAATTTCACGCAATATCTGGTGAGAATATCAGAGTCATTCTTCAGCAGCTGCTGGTAAGGCTTTACCTGTTGCCATAGGAAAGAATCAGGAACCTTTGCTCCACTAAGTGCTTCCTGGGCTTGCTTTATCATGCATTTTAGCTTACAATATCAGTCATAAAGAAGTATGGTTTGTAAATACATAAATAAACCTTGCTGGACATAGCTCTAGCAAAAAGTACGCAGATTTGTCACTTTCCCTGGAAAAGTATAAATTAATCATGATATAAAGAAATAAAAATATCTTACACAAAGCCTGCTTCAGGATTCTGCTCACTTCTCTTAAACAGTTTTACCACAGTTGGCCAAGCTCATCCAAAAGGTCCCTTAGGCACTCAGTAAGGTTCTTCAGATCTTTCCTTTTTGCAATATAGAAGCTTTTTATGTAAAAATCTAAAAGCATATCAGCCTGGGAAAGCTAGGAAGTTTACATTTGATGTATAGAGCACAATTACCTGCTAATGTCCAAGACAGACCTCCACCAGCCCAATATATATAAATACCTTTCCCCCCAACTTATGCCACCTTCATATCAGAGGAAGGCATCTGCTGTAACAGAGAAGGGAAAACTTGTTTATGTAATCACTCCTTTCTCACAAATTCTGTCTTTACATAGCCCCATTTCCATCTTAACCACAAACTAATCACTGCACTAGGAAAAGAGATCTGGTCTTTACAACCTTAACCTAGTTTGTCTTCATAACTATCCAGTTCCTCCCATTGAGGACTACTGTAGGAGCAGAGAAACTGAACTGATGTCAGTAAGGCACTGACACAAATAGTGGGGTCTGACCCTGTGAGCAAATCATCCAGTGAGAATGTGATTATAAAAAGACAGCTCACAGAACACAGAAATTTAATTGGATTCTTTCCATATAAATGGTAAGCTATTATACATGCTGCTGAAACAGTTTTCATTGCTTTAAAGAAGGAAAAGATATGTTTGGTGAAAGTTACAAAACTCCTTTAACACCTTTTAAAGAAGTGAAAGAAAATACTTTAGAAGAAGTAAAAATATTTATAGTAGTAGTTAAGCTGAACAAGGGCAAGAGGTTTTAAAAAATAATAGCTTTGTGTCTATTAAAATTTGATTCAAGAATTATTTTTTTCAAGAAGATTTGCACTTACTTGTCCATAGCTTAAAGGAGTAAACATCCTTATAACTTTATTTATTGGTGTTCTATTTATTTACTGGTTTATATTTATCTCTCAGATACTACAAAGCTACAGCAAATATTCCACTCCGGCACTTATGTGAGAAAGGCCAACTGAGTTCACTGCACAACATAAACTCCTTTAAATAGAGTTTTCACTTAATGGATATCAGGCTGAAGGCCACATAAAATTCTTCGAAGCTTGCCAGAGCTCCCGAGGCTCTGTGTCAGACCCTCTGCAGCCAGTCTTTAAAAAGCATTCAATTTGTCCCTGTCAGTATGGCATCTTTGCAACAACCTCTTGATGTCATATTGAAAAACATAAAGGAATAGATGAGCTGACGGAATTCTGTGCTTCTCTCTGTCCAGACACTGTGCCAGTTCTTATGCAACCAGACATGTCTCTTGCAGCCCTGACAACATCTAATAACATCTAATTCTGTGAAAGGTAATTTATGTTCTTTGTAGAATACATATGGAGGCTCTGTGGGTGACAGAAGGGCTCCACAGGCAGGTTTTGTAAACTTCAGTATCTCTTTAGTGCAGATTCCTCAAGTCTAACTTAGTCTGGAGAATCTTTATGTGCTGTGGATTAAACATATGATCAAAAATCCAAGTCAAATTGCACATCCAAACCAGCACATGTAGACCCACCACTCTCTCACACATCCTTCACCAGTAAGCACAGTTAGGTATGAAAATTTCTGAGATTTACAGAAGCCACGTAAATGGCTCCCTCCGGACAACTCTCATATTTTATTTTATATGATTCCCCTATCTTTGTTATATTCGTGACTTTGTCCTTGTGCTAGGATAAGTTCCTTCAGTAGATTGGTTTAGCTGTAATGAAAAAAAACTTTTAATATTCTAGCTTCAAAAAGCTGCTGAAACTTCAAGCTACTGTGTATAGCACTTAGAAGTGGCTGACATGAGAAATTCTACAGCATATTGTAGGGCATACTTGTAATAATATATTTGAACTTTATAAACTTGTTCTGCAATCTTCCTTACTTGAGCTCAATGAACTTCTCTCCTATTGGAAATACCACTATACAAACAGCCTGATCACCCTCTTCCTGTTCTCTCAGCAGCTTAAAGTTACCTGGCCCCTACCAAAGTCAGAACTCCATTACGGAACACTAAACCTCTACTGTCACAACTTTGGCAGCTGCATCTAGTAGCTGTACAATATCTGTGGAGAGTAGAAAATTCAGAGGTCATTGACTATGCAAATAAAATCACACCTTATATTCTGCATTTTATTATGGACAGGAAAGGCATCCTGAAATATTTTATAACCATGGACTAAGAGCTACACGTTATTTAAGACGCATTACAGTGCACTCTGAAATCCACAGAACTGCAATAAATGTGTAGTAATAACTAAAGAAGCCATCCCAGAATTCCAAAACACAAATATATCAAAAACACTGAGAGACTTGCTCAATCCACTGCTAGTGCTCAGTTCTTTCCCAAACCAGCATACTTTCTACTCCATTTGGACAACCCAAAGGGCATAAGAGAAGCTTGAACTAACAGTCTGACTGCTCTCAAAACACTTGTCAGATATGGACTTGGAAGTCTCTTCCACTGATTCCCAAACCCTATTTGCTCAATGGGCAATAAAAGCCTGCCTTCTAGGTATTATAAAGTAAACTGAATCCAAACAGTGCCTCTTGGAGGAAGTGTTGGAGGGGACAGAAGGAAAACACTGGACTACTGCAAACATATGGTCAAGCAGAGCTGGCTGGTACAGTCACTAAAAGGTTGTTTGGGATATGGCCATGTATTCCAGCCCCACTGTTAGCAACAAAAAACAAACAACTTTTTTTTGAGCCTTTTCATCCTATCAGGGTAAGTCCTTACTTACTATAAGTGGAGTAACATATCAAAATGTAAGCTTTCACAATTTTAATATTAATTTTGTATTTTAATGAACAAATGTATTTTTAAGTACTGAAAAAAAAACCAACAATAAGGTATCTTTATAATATCTGTGCATTTAGCCAGTTCTTGAAAAGAGGATGTACTTATCCAAGAAATTGGGAGCAATACGTGCTGCAGTGTGCAGAAATTTGTGCAATATTCAGAACCACTGTGACTTTCACTTGTAAGTGTGTGCACACACTGCATGTGCAGTATAATCATTTGCAAGAGTTAAGGAAGAAGTTAGTCAGTTCTACTCTACCTTATGGATTTCTAACCCAACGAGAACTCTTGTTTTAGGTGGATCAGTATTTATGCTGACAATCCTAGACAGTGTCCCTTTAAAGCTCTATGGAGAGTTCTTCTGGGGAAAAGCATATTGTGTTTACAGCAGGGATGGCCAAACACTTCTGATGTCTGTGCCACTCGCTCGGAGATCACAGATTGAAGCTCTGGGCAGCAAATGTCCCTGAATTACTACTCTCTACAACACATTAAACTGCCTCCAGCTGTTGAGTCTGTCTTCGCCTACTCATTGTACTTCTCGTTTCACTCTCCTTTTTGGAGTGAAATACTCCATTATTTCTGCTTTGTTCTGGACCCATCTCCTGTCTGTTTCTTTTGTTGCCACTATTTAATAGGGACAAACAGTAGCAAGGGATTTCATGCTTAGTTGGTTAAACACACACACTCTCATGGAAAAATACCCTAAGTTAGTGCAGCACTAATGCTAACAAACCAAGCATTCAGAACTCTTGAAATACAGAATTAAGGCTGAAAGCTCAACCATAACTCTGCTCCCTTCCCCCTCTGGCTTATACTTATGGATATGGTCTTCCTTTACATTTTATTTTTCAGTTAAGGTATCTTTGAACAAACAGAGTTCTATAGTACCCAGTGCACACTTATGTCCAGAGGACTTAGTTAATCATCATCTGAAGCTGTTAATAAAACTCATGAAGTTTATTAAAAGAAGTAAAATTTACACACAGAAGATTCCATAGCTCTAATGTTGTCTGAGATACAGAAGCAAAATGAAATCTCAAACCTTGAAAAGCTGACATGAAGAGGGTAGGGGGCTGGGGGGGAGGGACACAGTGGCACAAGGTAGACAGTTATAATGTTAACAATAGGAAACAACTGGGAACAGCAGTGGAATAACTGAATGCGAATAATAAAATACACATGATACTAGAATGAAATTACACACCGTGAACAGAGAGGGGGGAAAAAGGATTTATAAATAAACTGAACTTTAACTGTATTAATACCTTAACTTTAAATTAGTGCAACAGAATCTATGCATTTGACTGTGTGAGCTAAAGCTGCAGACTCTTCAGTTTCCATATAGCTGTACAGGTGGTTTTACCACGACAGAAAAAAGAAAAAAAGGAGGAAGAGGAAAACCTACTTAATTTAAGACACACCATAAGTGACACTGCTTTCAGGTTTTCAAAACATCAGACTGATAGGGTTTATCTTTGTCTACATAATTTCAGTAATGAGGACAAAACCTAACAGA